CGAGTAAGAGCCTAGCACCTAGGTTGTGTGATCTTCCATTTACAAAAAAAAAATGGTATGTATGAAAAGACTAACGGCTAGTTTGGGATTGTTGCGCATTTTAAAAAACATGTTTTTGCTGTGCTTTAAAAATAATTAGCTGTAAAATAAAGTAGCTGTGTAGAAGTGTTTGGTAAATTTCAAGATTAAAGTGATATAATTGTAGATAATGCCAAAACAAACAGGGTAGCGGGAATAGTGACGAATTCAATGGTGAGAGCAATGGTGGTGGTGGTGATGGGAGTGGTGGTGGCGACAATGGTGATGGCAGCGACAAAGGTGAAGGTTGGTATAAACGACAAACGTTTTTTGAGTTTTTCTTTTAATTCACTTTGTTGGTATATAACCAAATTGGAATGGACAAAATTTGCGATTACAGTTCCACCAGGTGGCATTGCTGAGTGGTAGTACATCTCAACTCAAATTTTGCCATGTGTACATTAATACACATAAACTTCTGCCGTTAATTCTGAAGTTACAAACCCTAAACAAGGTGGTTAACCACCATATGGCCGACGCTACCCAAAAGCTTGTGATACGACCCAATTCTCAATTCCCTTAATCAACCTACAAGTAGCACAAGAAAGCTATGAAGAAGAGGGAAGAAGAGATGAAGGAGCAGAGCTCCAAATATTTTTGTATCTAATTTCTGTCTTGTAAATTCTGATCTGCCACAATTTCTTTCTTGTATTTAATTTCTTTCTTGCAACTTTGATTATTCATTTGTTATACTCATACATACAGCCATTCCTTGTCCAAAATTATACACTCTTCCATGCTATTAATACAAAGCATACATTAACATGATGGGGGAAACATGTGTAAAATCTCTACTCTCTACAAAATCAGCAAGCTAACTGATCTCTAAACGACGATATCTCTTCAAATATAGCAAGTCTCCTCGACCTTTGAGGAGTCCATTGCTTCACCAAGTGGTCAAGCCCCTCGAGAAAGGCATCTTCCATATTTAAACTAAACGAATTGGAAGGCAAAACTACACGTTGACATTGCTCTAGCTCCTGCACCAGTTCCTCGCCACGAACTTTTGACTTGGGCTCATCAGATCCCGGAAGCATGCCCTTCAACACATGGTCGACAACTGATTGCGCCTCGGCATACCTTCTTTGCTTGATCAGGCACAGGCATAAGTTGCAGGCCTTGTTTGCATCCGGGTCGATGATTTGGGCCTTACGATACACCACTTCTGCAGCCGTATGGTTCCCTTGTTGCATGTATGCCCAACCTAAGTTGCCCTGCTCACACATCTCTAAAGTAAAAACTCTGTGATATGGTGACATTCAAAAAGGCAAATGCTTGGTTGGAGGACATTTTTCAGAGGTTTAGAAGCAGCACTATCAATCTTCACAAGTTTTTATTCAGAGAAACGGAGAAGAGAATGATGCTGAAAAGCTTTGAAGTCAGCTGCCTTCATGTATATTTTTAAGTGGAGCTGCTAAGGTAATCTTCTGAGAAAGCTTGTTTTTTGAAGAATATAACAGCCATTGATTAACTCGAAGGTGAATCTTATTGTTGGGAAAACATGCTAAACAACCCAAGGAGTTTTCGGTTAGCAACCAGAGTAATGTCAAAATCACAACTGCGCTGGAAATATTACAGGTAATTAATTTTAGAATTTTCAGATTCTAAAGAAACCTAGAGAGAAACTGTGTTGTACTGAGACTCTTTTAACACTAGAGAAAGCTGAACGAGAAGTGCGATAAGATCCCAAAAAGACAACATTTTTAATAAGGTCACTCACAAGTACTATGCAATCTAATTTAGTAATGAAGAGAAAATAAATTCCTGCAACTTAGTACTGACCAGTATCCTGGAGGTTTCTTGCTTGATTGTGACTTGGAATTTCCTTCCATGAGAGCGCGCTGTCTTGGTGTGCTTGCCATTGAAGGCCTCTCCCTGGAAAATCATCCGAAGCTTCTGTTTTAATAGCTCTATTTGTTCCTCAACTCTTCCACATTTCTGCCAAATTTGTATATATCGTGAGAAACAAATTTCAATTTAGAGGCAAAAAAGCAGGATTAAAATTCTTATTATGGTCAGAAAGAGTGTAAGCTGATGCCACCTACTGTTTGGCCTCAATTGTTAAGTTTTGAGTAAATAAGAAAGCAAAAAGGAAAGAAAAGTGCGACTGGTTTGACAGCATGAGTGTTCTTCAAAAAGCTACACAAGTCTATTGGCTGGGGTGATCGATTTGAAGGCATTGCCAAGATTGACAATCAATCGAAAAAAAAAACATTCAACACTTGTTGGAACTTATGGTGCGTCGACATTCATGATATCAAACAGACCCATTTTCTAGGCACAAAAATAGACATTCATCAGATGCCAGATATTAGAGTAAGCTTGCATAGTTACCTTGTACAAGTCGATTAGTACATTGTCAAGGGATTCCTGTGCTTGCCTGGAGCACCGATCCCTGAAAGACTTTATTGCTTCAATTGCTTCTTCCGCTCTATCCTGTTGCTTCATGACCACTGCCATGTCTTTGAGGGAACTATCCACCCTATCACCGGCATTTATTGCCTTCCAGAACAGTACAATAGCCGCTTCGGGATCTTTCTGAACTAACTGCATTTGCACAAAGAAGACAACGAACAAAACAATATTAGCTAAATAGCAGATCGTCTAACAGCGTCTACCACACTCAGATTAACCAACGGATTAAAATACCATACTCCGTAATCCACAATCAAAATTCAAACCAATACAATTTCATAATACCAAATTACGAGCGTTTTCTTTTGGGATAATGCTAGGAGACCAAAAATTTTAAATTAAATTGGCAAACCAAATGATGTGGTAAAACATTTAATCTCCCTAGCATTACCCTTTCTTTCATTATTTTATTCGGACCATATTCTAATCAATAAAATTAATCAAATCTAAACTACGGAGACGGTATTAGAGTCTGAGCATCCATCCTACTACCAATTGTAAACTGTTAGTATTGGGCAAGACTTCACTGCCCGGAATTCATTTTCACTTGGGTGTGGAGGTTGAGCACTCACTAAAAGTTCAACTTTTTTCCACTTTAGTAATATAAAGATTTTAAGAAAGCCATAACTGAGGATTTCCGAGAATTCATTATCCAGCAAATTACCAAATATAATGTGAGATATTCAATGAAACTGGAAATTGATTAATTCATCAAATCCCAAACAAAATTAAATTGAAATCAACTAACGAGTAATTAAAATAGCATATAACTAATTCATCTATATATCCTAAAAATACATAAGTAGGTATAATCGTATCAAGAGAGGACCTGGACGTGCTTGGCTCTGACGTAAGGGCTGTCACCAGGAGGCAGCTTGTGAAGAACATGGTAAGGAGGAGGCTGCTGCTGCTGCACCTGATCAGTCCTCTCTCCATTCCTTGGGCTCGTCATCTTCTGCAGGCAGCTGGTGAGTTTTTTGTTCTTTCATTCGTACTCTACGAATGATAAAATATCATATGGTTAGGAAAGTGAATGGGAAGGAAGGTGGCCTGGATTGCGTCCAGGTTCGTGGTGGAGATGGGTGGGGACATGTTCTCTTGCCATTGGCCACTGGGCCGCAAGCGAATTTCCCCTGCCATCACGCATATCATAAATATATGCCTTTTATTATTCATATAAGTCGTCAACGAGACCAACCCCATTTAAGAGGTTATCCGCTAGAGTAATCTTCGCTTATGCAACAAAATTAGTCGTTAGGTTGTAAACCCTCGGAATATTTGTGGGCTTTATTTTTCTTTACTTATGCTTTTCTAAGATGTCTGCAGTTTCCTAATCAACAAAGAAAGAAGAATGCAATTTCACTTTTTCTTCTTCCCTTTTATTTATTTTTCCCTTTCGATTTTTCTTTTCCGTTCTCCTTCTTTCATCGCGGAAGAGAACTGTCATCCCAATCTTTTTGGGTTCAGATGATACCCAATATTAGTTTATTATATTTGAAATGTCCATTTGAGATTTTTTTTTTCTCTTTCTTAACAATGAGTAGCAATTGCATGTGGCTTTTTATCACATTGGTTGAAAAATGTTAAGTCCTTACATGACAACGTGAGTTTAAACCCTGTCGTAGCTAATCTAATATTTAATCTAATAAAATTTATCGTTTAACCAATACAAAAAAAAAAAAAACAATGAGCAGCGGCTATGGAGATTTTATATCCAAGATTTTGGTATGAAAAATAGAAGCAAATTATTATTCAAAATTGCTAACAATGAGCGGCAGCTATGGAGATTTTGTTTTGTGAAATTATATTACTATTTTTATTATTATTATTATTATTATTTTGTAATAGAAGACTAAATAGTTTTTTTACCTTCTTTGATTGACAAAATAACCTAAACATTAGCACTTATTGTAAAAAATATGTTAATGAGTAAAAAACATCAAATATGAATTTGTGTATAGTTAACCACACCAAGTAGTCCAGTGATAAAGGGCGCAAACTGCGACTCTCCAATAAACAAAAAAAAAATGAAATGTGGGATGTCCTGGGTACGATGCTCCGAGCTGGTAAGATTGTTTGACTGTGGCCATGAGCAACGTAAGACCCACCTCAAGCTCTCGGGCCGGCGAGAATCGACGGGGCCTGGCGCTCAGGGGTGCTCGGGCTCCCTTGCTAGCCAACGCTGGACTTCCTGCCTCGGGCAATCAAGCCCTGTTCCGGAGCCTGTCCCTCGAGCAAGAGCTCCTGCTGGAGCTGCTCTCATAGCCTCCCCAGGTGCGAAAAAAGTGAATAACCGTGATTGTCACTAGTTCTCTTTAAAAAATAAAATAAAAAATTTCTGTCTAGTTTACTTTTTCTTTAAACCTACCTTTTCAATAATTGATTTTTATTTTTTTTTAATCCACCCAGCCAATGGACATGATTTTGAAAAATTCTCCGAAGGCAAGAACTGGGCATTATGTACGGTTGATGGGTCAAAGTTGAACTTTTCTTAAATAAACATCAAATTGCTTTCAAAACTTATCTTTTTTCCTTCTCATTACTAAACTGCCAAAATCCGTCAAACAGTATTTGGCGGATTTTGTTTATTCAACTATTGTTGGCAAGAAACAATAATTTAGATTACAACATAGGCAATTTAAATTCAATCGAAACGAAATTTTTACACTCGAAAACAATCGGTGTTGGAACTTGGTGTACATGTATCAACTGTCCACATACAAGAGAGATTACATGAGGAAATACAAGCAACTCTTTAATTAATTCTTCACATACAAAGCTACCTTAGTGATATCCAAGGGGAGCTGGTGCGTCTCTCAATTGTTTTCCCTGAAAATGAATATCCTGCCAACAGAAAAGCAGTCAGATTTCGGAAACGAATAAAGCGGATTGAAATGGAAATGTGGTTTAATTTGCTACTCACAGATGCAAAATGGTTGACATCGCGATGGTGAGCTTCATCAGCGCGAATCACAGTTATAACATCGTGGAGTGTCGCGCCTTTAGGCAGCCTCCAGTAATCGATTGCAATTTCAGGAGCCTTTACATTTTCAATTTTGCCATTTTCGATATCCTTCAAGTACTCTGTATAGGAGAACACAGCCTCCTCCTCCAGATAACCGACAACCCTATGAGCCAGTTTGGGGGAAGCCAGATAAAGCCCGAAGAAGGCATTGAAGAAGACACCCTGCACGGCAAGAACCAGAAGCCTCTCGTGCCAGGCGGGCTTCACAAGTTCCACCACCGTCATCAGGTGCATCCTCTCGTTCTCTGCCTCTTCAAGTAAAGCTTTGATCCAACCGCCGCTGTGCTCAAACTTGCGGAGAGACTTCAAATGCAGCAACATTCCTCCTACCATACCGGGGACTGCTGCCACGGTTTCCAGCATCATTGCATGGCATCCGTGCCGTTGCTGCAACATGTATTGAACTACTTTAGATCAAACTGGAAGCGGAATATTACGCATCAAACTGTTTAACTAGTGTGATCAAAATATGATTCGAGGGTTCATTTGACATTGCGCTATCAACACTTTTGACAAACGTCTACAATAAAGAGTTTGAACTACTTTTACAGGAAGCACTTGATTCTTTATAAATAAAATTTTAAAAAAAAAAACGGTTGTACTTCTAACATAAGCGCGTAAGCAAAAGTGCTTCCTACAAAAGCATTCCAGAGAGACTAACTCCAACCATGTCATTGTCAAATTTTCACCCAACTAATGAAAAGAAGAATAAAATTAGAGGTAAAAGTCAAAGACCTGGAAGTAAAGATCCGATAGAACTCGAAGAGACTTGACCGTCCTAAACGCAACTCTGTCCAGAAATGTCTTCGGCACATGATGCTTGCTCAGATCAATCGATAAGTCCGCCTCATAAGTCTCCCACGGCTACATTAATCAAAATTAAAGATTAATTATATTAACAATACAGACTAATTAATTTAATAATTCGGATTAGTATTAGCCCTGACCTTGAAGCAATTCCACGGCCACTCAGTCCCGTCCTCTCTCCTAATCTTGGGCCCCTGAATCCCCCAGTAGCTCGAAACGTCAACGCTATTGTTGCCGTTTGTGCTCTCATTCTCCTCCTTCTGCTCCTTCTCCGCCAACGACGTCGCTTGCCCTGACGACGACGACGTGCTCATCAGCATCCTACTCCTCCACTGAACCGCTCCCAAAACCCCGCCGTTCTGGCGACTCAGAAACTCCGAGCTCTCCAACGGCCTATCCACCGCGACCGCCGTAGAAATGTAGCGATTGCAGCTCCGGCCATTGACGAGACCTCCGACCACCGACCTCAACACGACCCGGTTCATCTTCTTCCTCTTTCACAATTCAAATTTGGGTTTTGTTTTTCGATTTGTTTGTGGGAAGCGTTTGGGTTCCTGGGCATTTTATATGATGATTTGGTCTGTTTGGTTCCAGGTTTAAAATTCAAAGTAAAATTTCTGGCAGTTGACGATCTTGACTTGGACCTGGAATCTTTGGGTGGTGGTATTTGGTGCCTGGACCGATTAAAATTCTTGCGCCTCAAGGCCGAGTTTGGGTTGGTGACACGTGTCCAGATGGGTCCGTTTCCAGGAAGCAGCTGACTGCCGTGACGGCTATGAGGTGGAATACTGCGATTGTATGCACGTTCTCTTTGACTACATCAAAGTTTGCATTTGTTTTGAATTTTCTCTGTCTGCAAATTGTTGCAAGGGAGGAGCTATCCATACGCGTATTTTACTTAGTACACACTTTTATAAGTTTTTATTTTTTTATCTTTTTACGAAGCTAATGTGAAAATGACTTAGGCCAAGTTTGTTTTAACAAAAAATCATTCAAAAATTTTATTTAATTTAAAAAGCTTGAAACTTAATGAAAATGACAAAAGATAATATAATAAGGACAAAACTAAAGCCTCATAAGTAGGAAATAAGCCCATGTGTAAAACTAAATTTTTTGTTACCAACTAATACCCCTAACGAAAACCCCGTTCCGTCAATCCAATTCCATTAGAAAGTTGAATTTTCCCACTATGCTTTGAACGGCATGAAAAGTTTGTTGGGGCCATACTCCCATTGTATATTTGTTTGGTTCCGTCTATGTCTGCATGTAAATGTGAGAATAATGGAATTTAAATCAGAATCATCGATCAAATATTGCATAATCAAATTTGACATGTACCAAATTGGCAGCACCGCCCCACCACCTTCTCCCTAATCTACAAAACTAGAACCTTCATTCCCAATTATTAGTCCATTATTATTATTATTATTATTATTAACTTATTAGCACTGTAATTCGGGCTATAAAGAGAAGTACGTCCACTTCAAAATACCATATCAAAATTAGTTTGCTACTTTCATTGGCAATGAATTAGTTTGTTTCGAGGATCTTCCTAATTTCATTCAAGACCTTCTCGTCCAAGATATGATGTAATTACTATGAGTTTCAATAATATATCGATGTTTCTTGAAAAAAGAATTGTGATGAAATGCATATTGAAATATTTATAGAATCAAAATAAATTAATATAATTTTCATATACGGCATTTATAGAGTTAGTTTGAGATTGTTGCGGGTTTATAAAAGTTGCTACCATTATTTTTAGAACTGAACACGAGTACTATCCTTATTTTTAAAACTAAACACTAACTATTTTTGAAATTGAACACGGGTACTATACTATTTATTAAACTGAACACTAGTACTATTACTATTTCTTAAACCGAAAGCTAACTAGTTCTGAAACTAAACACGGGTACTACACTAATTATGAAATTGAATACGAAGACTACACTATTTATGAAACTGAACACGGATACTACACTATTTATGAAATTGAATACGGATACTACACTATTTATGAAACTGAACACAGATACTACACTATTTATGAAACTAAACACTAGTAATATCACTATTTCTTAAATCGAACGCTAACTATTTCTGAAACTAAACATGGATACTACACTTTTTGAAACTGAACATAGGTGCTACACTATTTATGAAAATAAGCACTAATATTATCATTATTTCTTATACTAAACGATAATTATTTTTGAACTGAATATAGGTACTACACTATTTGAAAAACTAACAAACACATGAACAGACACCTAGCTAGCGATTCGAATACAAGTTTCCACATACTTCCAAAATTTCCTAGGTAGACTCAATATATAATTAATTACTAATTATAGTAGCATCATCAAAACCTTGTTTATAAGTTGTCATAGCACTCACCAAATAAACTCGTACTTTTCAACGTGTTTTTCTCAAAAGACTAAATGATAATTAGTTTCAAGTGTGACCATCTCCATCTGGGTTTTGGTTTAAAAAAAAAGTGCTTTATAATATTAAAAAGAGGATGAACTGTCAATTTAGTTCGTGAATTACCACATTAATAAAAATTAAATCTCTAAACTATTTTTTCAAAAAAAATCAGTCCTTGAATTATAAAAATATGCCAATTACATCTTTAATATTATATTTGAAGCTACTATATTCAATTTTTCTTCAATTTAAGTCACGTTACTTGTATGTGATACACATTTGAGGGTGAATTGATAGTTTTTCATAAAGTAATAGTGTATGAAGTTAATTTTGGAGGGTAAATTAATAATTTTTTTCATAAGAAATAGTGTAAGTTAACCTTGAAGGGTAAATTAGACGTTAGATTCGCAACTATATGAAATGTTAAGGGCCTATAGACGAGAAAATGATAGTATTACACTCTAAAGTGTGTCAAGTGACTTAAGTTGACGAAAAATTGGATAAAACAGCTTTGAATATAATATTAGGGATGAAATTAGCAATTTTTGATGAATTTAGGGAGTTATTTTACCCAAAAAATAATTCAGGGATCTAATTTTCACTAAGATTATCGTTCAGGGACTAAATCGGTACTTCACTCTTGAAAAGATGTGCTTTATGATAAGTAGAAAGCTAGCTTCCTCTCTTGCAGCCTCTTTACAATATCATATTTGTATTTGATAATTTTAAAAAGATGTGCTTCCCTTCATGATAATTAGGCTCATCTTTAACTCCAAGTTCAACCAAGTTTGCTTCCGTATCGTGCTCCGCACCCGAAGGCCCTGACCGCTCACTGCCACCCTCATGTGTATCTCCAAATTCCAATTTGACTCATCTTTAACTAAACATTCAACTAATTGATGAGAAGGGCTTTCCTCAATTCTCGGCTTTTTCGAGCCCTTCCTCCTATTTATCTCCGCCCCCTCCGAAACCCCATTACCGCCATTGATCTGAGCCTTTCTCTCTCGGGTATAAACAATCACACCATTCATAACCACACCCTTAAACCTCTTATGATTAATTCTCTCATAAACACCACAAAGACTAGTTTTCAGATCTTTCGGTTACTATTCAATGACTCATTGTTACTCTCGTTGTACAAGTCCTCTCCACCTTGTGGCACATGTGCTCTGCATTTCTTCTTCACAGCAACAAGACTTGGTAAAACCTTGAGAGTGGATTGCCATTTGGCTTTAAGTGCCTGTACCTAGTAGTCCCACCAATGCTACAAATGCTGATGCTATGGATGCCCAGAAACCAATAGCCCAAATTCCTTCATCCTCAAAGGTTCCTAATGGAATGGAGAATGAAAACAGAGATGTGGAGAGATCGAGAGAAAGGTAGAGAGATCAATCCGATTACAAAAGTGGAGGAATTGTTTCTGTGCAGAGGAAAGATCAAGATTAGGCAGAGAGATTGAGAATGGAGATCGAGAAATGGGGATTAGGTGGAAAGATTGAGAAACGGAGAGAGGATCAAAGGGGAAAGGGTTTGCTGTTAAGGGTAAAACTGAAAACTCATCCTTTGGGCTGGTTTGATGTTGGGCTTGGTTTTAACCATTAAATAAACTTATTACCTAGTTTTTTTTTTTTTTATGAAGATTCAAAGTTTTAAAGTCATTTTTATTAGGTTTTTTCTTCTTCTTAATTTAAATCAATCTAGTAGTTAAAAATTGAAAGAGGTATGTGAAAGGTAAAATGAGTTAATTAACAGAAGAAATAAATTGAGCTTTGTTAGTTCCGGAGGCAACATGTTCTCGAACAAAATGATAATTGAGTGTAATATGTTTGGTACCTGCATGGAAGATAGGATTGAAAGCCATGTAAGTTGCCGAAATATTATCACAATTAAGATGCATTGGGATGTCGGAAAATGAAGAGCATGTAAAAGTCCTTGAGTCCAGATAGTATCCGCACAAGCATAAGCAAATGCACGATATTCCGCTTCTGCACTTGAATGAGAAACCACTCGTTGCTTTTTCCAAGAGATGAGATTAGGACCCAAAAATATACAAGAACCTATTATAGACCAGCGAGTATCAAGGCAACCTAACTAATCCGCATTTGAATAGGCTACAAGAAGAGTAGAAGCTAGGAAGTGACGAAATGGTAGACCATGGCCGAGCGTGCCTTTCAAATAACGAAGTATGCGCTTGACTACCTCAAAATAAACATTAGTTAAGCATTCATGAACTGGGATACATGTTGCATGGCATAGGCAATATTAGGTCGAGTGAGTGTTAGGTATTGTAAAGCACCAACAAGTTTACGATAAGATGTAGGACCAGGAAGAAGATGTAAGAATCTTATGCGGACTCAACTAGTTAGGATAAAGGAGAAGTAATAGGTTGGTAATACAAATCAAATATAGTTTGAATACGTGTAAAGCTACATCCTATAATTAAGGAATACACTTCCAACGTGCATTTGAAAATAAGTACTAATCACAACTGCTCCATACACGGTTAGGATTGGGTGCAACGGGTGAATAACCAACCATCCACGATAGATGGAAGTTGGCTACCATTGCATCTATATAAAATGAATTCCCTGCTCACAGAGAAAGTGTTCTACGTTTAAGGGGTCTATCACCATTAGAATATAAAGGTTTCTAAGTGAGCAGAAGAGTTCCTTGACAACCACAATGGCTTCGACAGTTATGCTGCACAAATGTGTTCTCCTGAAACTACTGATATGGTACTAATATGGCTACTTCGACAGGTTTGTGTTCGACCCTTATGTCTAATTGTGGTCTAGGGTTAATGTTAGAATAGGATTTGTTCCAACATTTGGTATCAGAGCCAACTTAACATGCCCTAGATCCATTGTATAGTTATACTGCATGATTCTAACAGATAGAAATTCCGCCCTTCACATTCATGTACAACCACTTTCATATCTGAGATGAATTGATCAATAGTAACATCAACAGAATAGGATTTACCATAACCATCAACAAGATATATAGAATCTGCCTTCACATTTAACAATGTTTGGTCCCGTGGATGACAAGGTTCTCAAAACCCAAATAAATTTGGGAAGACATCAACGAATTTGTGGATCTTCATAAGGATTTTCAATCATTGTCAATGGGTAT